TGAGACCTTACCTCCGGACTTGATAGAGTGACCTGAAAGTGTACTTTGATGACTGTTACTGGAACTCCTCGACGAGGGGAACTAGGTGTCCCGAGTTTGAGTTTGTTTGTTAGTTATGAATAGACCTTACCTCCGGACTGTTCGGACTAATTCCAGCCGCCCAATTTCACCATCGCACATCGCGACAAAACTCGCGATACCATTCATACCATCTGGATGATTGGTGGTCCACCACTGTGCTATTTAGAAGAAGTTTTCTTCCTCGCACAACTTCCTTGTGGAATCGATTACCACCAGCGATTTTTCCGGACCGATACGATTTACCGGGACCTTTAAGAAAAGAGCCTACTCCTTTTTAAAAGGCCGGCAACGCATCTGTGATTCCCCTGGTGTTGCAGTTGTTCATGGGCGGCGGTAGTCACTTACCATCAGGTGAGCCGCATGCTCGTTTGCCCCCTCCCCTATAAAAAAAAAAACTTGGAGTGACTCGAAGGTGTACTTCGGTCCCAGCTACCGGAACTCTTTGACGTATAAAACTACAATTTACATTTTTTTTTTTAATTTTTTCACGATCATTAAAAGTCGTGTCCTTTTGGATTTTCCAAGGCTTCTTTTAAATTGAAATTTGACATAAAATTATCGGAAAGTTGGAATTATCGCAATAATTATAAGGTTTTAAGTGAAAACGTGTGTATAATTAAACTACTTTAAAAATTTACGTATAATCATATTACACGTAATATTTTTAATGCGCTTAAGGCATATACAATTGGATTTACCAATAGTTTTTTTTGCTATGGGGATGCGCGACTGACACTGAAATTATATTTTTTTTACAGAAGAGGGGTATTTAACTAAGTAGACTACGATCACACTTCTGTTAGTAATCGTATTTCGAGTTTACTTGTTGTTTACACTATCTACCTATTTCTTCCAAGCCAAGCATCGCGATTCCCGACGAATGGCCTAGCAAGTTGCATGCATTGGGCATCACAGAACTCACATAGTAGAGGAAATATGGTCGATCATAGTCAGAATAGGTACTTTACCTAAGTAAGTTACAATTTCACAATGTATTTTTTTACTCTTTATTTAACAGCCCTTAGTAACCTGGGAAAGTCCGTGGTGACTACGTGATAACTACTAAAATTTGTATAAGAATATTCAATCTTATTCAGTCAACAGTGTTTTGCTCGCAATTTTAGTTTCTAGCTGAAAAAAAATTACTTTTTGTTCAGTTCGTCCCCCCAGTTAGGGTGGACCTAAACACCTCACGTAGCGGCACCGATTTTCGACAACTTTTAGCTGTGGCGGCGAACAATTATTTCATGCCACGCCTATTGTGCCATCAGCCATGTGTAGTAGTAATTTTCTTTTTTAAGCTTTTTATTAGTAAGAATAGCAAAACAAATGTTTTGAAAAGGAAAAAAAACGCCGGCGCTATACGGCGGCGGATTGACAAAAGACTATTAGCGAACTTTTATGTATAAACGGTTTCGAAAAGTTCAAAGAAAAATAAACCTTATACCATATCACAAGAGCACATGGTACTTCGTAGGTCTATTCGGCCATATGATAGTAATAAGACGGCAGCTCAACTATTTTAAGCAAAATTAAACAATAAGACAAACACATTGTTTTTTTTTAACAGGAGGCTTGTTTTGCAGTGATTTATTTAAAACTTGAGTTTGTAAGCGATCGCAATGAGTGCTATTATTTGTTACTTATTATACTTTTTTTCCACAACATGATTTAAAACCCACAAAGTAAAAAGAGTACCATGTACAAGTTAAAAAAAGGTTGTCAACCCCTCAAAATTTCAAATTTTCAAAATATCCAGAAAAGAAACCGTAGGCATGAACTACTTGCAAAATAATGAATATTTTGTTCTGGATAAATTTTCCAAAAACGCAATTTGAGCGAGTTATAACGATTTTTTAAAAAGACGCGACTCGCGTGTCATACACCACAGACAAAAGTAATCGATGCCATCCACACTGAACCGGTTAATGGATGAACCTTGACTGACCCCATTGATAAAACTGTTTATACGGGAAACTGACCCTATATATATATATATATATATATATATATATATATATATATATATATATATATATATATATATATATATATATATATATATATATATATATATATATATATATATACTTTTTAAATATTAAATTTTATTTTTAACACTAGCTTCTGCCCGCGACTTCGTACGCGGATCCTGTTGCTTATGCCAGCGACAACGGGGTCGTCAAAATCGAAGATATGAAACGTCTGATGTTGAATTCTAAGAGCCCGGGGACGGGAAAACAACGTGATTCGCGAGACGATTCGAGACGTTCTAGATCTTTCATTTTTGTAAGTCAACAGGAAATGCCCATCAGACTAAACAACTTTTGCTAAGACGGCATTCCTATATATATTATAGTGTCGCTGGGCTTTGGATGGAGTGTAACTCCTTGTGTGTTATTAAGTTAATATATTGGTAATATTGTTTAGATCACGTTCAAATGAGGCTTAAGTACTTATAGAACAAAAATACTTCAGCGCAAAGCTTCCGGGTAAACTATGTTGAAAGTTCACCCGTCCGGCACGTGAACATAAAGATTTCTAGAACTGCTAACCCGGGAAAGAGCGACGTAAAACTACCCATGCGAGATACAACTGACACCGAGATCTACTCCAGCAACACGAAAAGTCTGCCCTTGCGCCTTATTAATTGTCATTGCATAACACAATGATACTGGGAATTGCGTTCTTTTAAATTGGAATGGAAAATTATTTGGTATTATGGGAATTCTGGGAATAAAGACGGTTTCTCCTGCACCGCAATACCTGTTAAAATTTGAGCCTCGATTATATTTTGTTGCAACTGGGTTACTTTTAGCCGAGTTCCATTGCAAAGTTGTGGTAGTCTTAAATTTCGGAGCAGAATAATCGGAATGACAATTTTTAAACAAATTTCATGAAAAGGAAGTCCGGGCATATTTAAAGAATTTAAAAATTCTATCGGGTAATTAGTGGCTTCTTGTTCATCGACCATTCTATTTATTGAACTACAAATTTTGCTTTCCCCCTGTATATTCGACAGTATTTTGTTATTAATATCAGATGCCTGGTCATTGCGAGGAGTTAAAATGGATCTTTCACATAGCCAAAAATTGTCACTATTTAATATAATTGTTACGTCACCGTAAACCGACGATATAAGATGTGGTGGGGATTGCACTATACAACATAACTCAGGCGTCAGAATAAGTTTTCCTGATGTAGTTGTGGATAGGTACCTTCCCCAATCTTTAATAATTTATCAGAAAATTGACGATCATCCGGGTTATCTCCAGTTCTCACTCGCATGTTTATAGTCAAATGTACCGATTGTATATCACGCCACAAATAAGAGCTTTTTAGGCAAGCCCTAACCTCATCAGCTCGGGTTCCCCGTGGTATTACCGGTAAGGTTTGTCGCAAATCACCACAAAATAAAACCGTGATACCGCCCATTGGTCGATCATATTGTCTTATATCCCTTAAAGTTCTGTCTACCGCTTCTACTCCTTTTCGGTGGGCCATCGTACATTCATCCCTTATGATTAAATTACACTCACGTAATACTTTAGCTTTGTCGCTATTTCTTGAAATACTACAGGTTGGATTTTCCGTGCGATCTAAATCAATTGGTATTTTAAACATAGTGTGAGTAGTTTTACCCCCTGGTAGCAATGTTGCAGCTATACCTTATGAAGCCACGGCAAGAGCAATTTTACGCTGATTTCGAACATAAGCTAATATTAATTTAGTCAAAAAGGTTTTCCCAGTTTCTCCAGGTGCATCTAAAAACCATATTGTTCCCAAATTATTCTGAACACTCTAGCACACGCGATCATAGACTGAACGTTGTTCTGCAGTCTTCATTGGGACACCGTTTTCTAATGTTGCCAGCAGTTCCATTGAGTTGTAACCAATCTCTGCAGAATATTCCCTATTGGTAATCTCTCCGACTGAGGTTGGTGTTGGCAAACCATATTCACAGAGTGATTTACCGCCTACTGCTGTTAAGTCTTCCTGAATCACAGATTTATGGCAAGATCACGGAAATTATCATTAGTTGCGCCTTCATCATTGTGAGATATATTCCGAAGAAAGTCTTCTGCAAATTTTTCTTTATATTTTTCCCATAATTGTACAGCATCTGACAAATTACAAAATGTGAGTAATGTTACAAATAAATGGAGTAACCGTCGTGGATTATCACTAACACAGGATTCTGCTAAAGCGTCATCCCAATGTTGATCATTTTCAAGCAAACGACGCGCTTGGCAAGCTGCATGATAAGTTGGATAAACAACATCGTCTACTTTTCTCAAATCTATAAATGATGTTGGTCCTCGCACTGTATGTAATAATAATCGCAAATAGAAACACTCAGCGTTGTTAGGATGAACGGTATACACTCTACCAAGAACATGTTCTTTGAAAATACCTGACTCGCCATCTACAGGCCTTGCACGGCGTCTACGATTAAAGACACCTCGTTGCTTATCGTAGGTATAATACGATTGAACTTCCTCATACAAAAGAGATTTTGCAAAATCATCAGTTTGACAAAGTCGAAAGAATGCTAATAAAGTTGTTTGTCTAGGGTTCTCTAATCGTTCTCTATCATTTTCGGCGTTGAAATATATACGTTGACCGCCTTCAAGATGAACATCCAGATGAGTCACAGGTGGATATCTTTCGTGAATGTTGAAACTTAAGATCCGCCACACAGCTTCTGAAGAGCTGATATATCTGCCTGACTGAAATCTAGTAACTTCATCATGTTCATTTCTCAACGCAAATGTAGCTTGGTCACTGCTCTTGTTAATATACTTACAAATATATTTTATTGACTCTACACTATTACACATTTCGACATTTATGTGAGCTTGAAATGCTCTAGACATCACAGGCGAATACGGAACGACCCACCTATTATCTAAATTAACCTATTGTCCAGACACTCGCTTTTCAACAGTAAAACCACCATTGTCTCTTGAACGGCGACGATATAATGGGTATCCATCATGTCCTGTTACAGTTTCATCCACTAATGCTTTTGGATATCTTTTAGTGCAACGACCGTCTTGCATGCAAGGAGCATTCCCGTTAAATGCATCACATGGACCATGTATCATATGAGTTATAACAATGTCGTATAACACGGGATCTGCAATCGGTTCTGGAATTTCAGCACTGATTAAACTGTCTACATCATTAGGTCGAGCCTTATCTTTTAACCAAAGCAGGATATGTGCGTGAGGTAGGCCGCGTTTTTGCCACTCAACACTATACATATAACACAATACATCTCCAAAAATGTTATCTTTGATAAGTAGATCTATCATTGATTTTAATTTTAAATGAAAAACTCTTGCGATAATATCATGGCGGTCATGCGGTGCTTGACCCTCAATAAGCTCCCGAGTGATTTCATCCCACTTGGGATTGGTAGTTACAGTAATAAATAAGTCGGGACGTCCATATTTTCTTACGTAACAAAAAGCATCTTGAGTACGTTCGTGCATGTAGCGTGGACCACCATTAAAAGAAGAGGGTAAAATAACTAAACGGCCCATGCTGCATGGCATCGCGAAAGTGCACGTATTCTTCAGTGCGCAGCTGCCTTTGATTAGATCGTATATAAACTAATCTTTCGGTTTAAATTTTTGCGTACATGTCAACAATAAACTGATTGAATAAGCCACGAAAACGTTGAAAGTATACAAATCTATTCCGTCTCACTTGCAAGTGGTAACAATAAAATTGAAGGCATGACATCTTTTTATTATAATTAGGTGCGCCTGTACGCGGATCAGTTTGGTATAAAGCGAAATTATAACCATCTTCCCCTCGAGAGTATATCAAAGGATATTGCAAACTGTCGTAAGCCCTGTGGGTTTCGTAAATACGTTGCAAACGATTGTCTCTGGAACGGATAACGATAACACGCCTACCACATTCCTGGTCGACCAATACTACAGCAACTTCATTCGTGGATGGAACGTTATAACGCCCAGGGTGTTCCTGAGTTGGACGCCTATCGGCATTTATAACAATTTTATAATTGTTATCACCATCTTGAGGAAGAGCTTCTAATGCCGATTTAAAACTGCATACATACGAATTAACCTGATGCAACATGTTCTGAAGTTGTGAAATAAGTTCAGTATTTAAATTCGGGAAATATTGATTTCTTATATTCGACTGTTCGTTGTAGTCGGATACAAAATATATTTGAAGAAACTTAAGTTGGTCTTCAGGCAAAAGGGATCCTATCAAATGGTAAACCTGACCTTGTATCTTAAAAGTAGGCATGAAAGGACATTCTGAGATTTGTTGAGCATCAAAGGATGTCATTTGAAACGCACTATTATAAGTGCGAATATTGTCTAAGAACTGTTTAGATTGCACATGTTCCCCTAAAAGTAGTGTCTTGTTCAAAGGTTCCGGTGGATCTTCGAACGAAGGCAAATTTATTTTACCTCCAGAACAACAGAAACCAGCCGACTCCTTACTCCACTTTGAAGCATTACAAAAAGAACATACTACGTTCATATCGCTTATTACAGAAGATGATCTGTAATCAATTGTGAGGTTATAAGCAAACCCGACCGTGTAGTGGCGGTTAAGAATATCCACTACCCCATATCTTCCCGTGGGTGTCGTAAAAGGCGACAAAAGGAAACAGGCAGGAGATGGGCAGCAGCATCTTCCTGGTAACGGCAAAATACAATAAAAAATTGCGGTTGCCAACCCGCTCGCCAAGCGTGGCAACTATGGCAATATACCCCCCATGATGAAAGTTACGAAGAGACGGCCTCCAGTCCCCGGCGGCCCCGCTATTCCTGGCTACGGTGGCGACCATGGTAACGGCGGGGCAGGGGGTGCTAAGAATCTCCGGTGGAGGTTCGGTTGCCACCTACGACGACTCGACCTGGCAACATACAACGCACGCACCCTGAGGACTGACGAGAAGATCGTGGAGATGGAAGAAGAGATAGACAAGTTACGCTGGCATATTATAGGATTATCCGAGGTCCGAAGAGAGGGGGAGGACACGGTAATCCTCGAATCCGGCAACTTGCTCTATTACCGGGAGGGCGACCATCTGTCCCAAGGAGGTGTCGGATTTATCGTCCACAAGTCTCTCGTTAACAACGTTGTAAAGATTGAGAGGTTGTCGACGAGGGTTGCGTACCTTATACTCAGAATCACCAAACGGTATTCGCTGAAGGTCATACAGGTTTACGCACCAACCTCGGCACACCCCGATCAGGAGGTGGAGGAAATGTATGAGAAAATCTCTAGAGCCATGCATTCCTCCAAAACCCAATATACGGTGTTAATGGGAGACTTCAATGCAAAACTAGGCACAAGAGAGAACGGTGAGCTGAAAGTGGGGAAATTTGGAATAGGGCAACGGAACCCAAGGGGCCAGCAGCTGGCCGACTTCATGGAGAAAGAGGGACCCTTTATGATGAACTCTTTCTTCCAGAAGCGGCCCCACAGGAAGTGGACCTGGTCGAGCCCCGTCGGTTCGACAAAAATGAGATTGACTTCATTATGACGACCAGACGACAACTGTTCAGTGATGTCTCAGTGATCGCGAGGGTGAAAACTGGCAGCGATCACCGAATGGTTAGAGGCACACTGAACCTAAACGTTAAGTTGGAGAGGTCTCGTCTAATGAAGTCAACGCTCTGTCCCCCTCGTGCTCTAATCCAAAGTCCCGAAACCTTTCAGCTCGAGTTACAAAACCGTTTTCAGTGCCTAGAAGACTGCAATGAAGTGGACGATTTGAATGACAAGCTCGTGGAAACTGTCCATGCGGTCGGAGCTAAGTTCTGCAAGACCCGCCGCAGAAGAACACAAAAACTCTCCGATCACACTCTTAATCTCATGGCTGTTAGACGGGAGATGAAGCTACATTCTTCAACAGATTTGACAGCATACAGGCAACTGAACAGACAGATCTCCAAATGTATGCGGCGGGACTTACGCAACTTCAATACAGCTCGTATTGAAGAAGCGATCGAGCGGAACCAAGGCTCCAAAGTCTTTGCCAGAGATCTGTCTGCCAGAAAGAGCCAACTGTCAAAGCTGAAGACCGAATGTGGCAGCATCGTTTCCGGGGCACCTGAGATTTTGAGTGAGATTGAAAGGTTCTATGGGCAGCTGTACACATCATCGTTGGAGCCGCACGCGAGTGTGAGTAACGATCCAAGAGCGCGTCTTGTCCGACATTATTCCGATGATATCCCGGACGTCAGTCTGAGCGAGATTAGAATGGCTCTCCAGCACCTTAAAAACGGCAAGGCCGCAGGCGAGGATGGAATTACAGCGGAGCTTCTGAAAGCGGGTGGAAAACCGGTACTTGAAGTCCTTCAGAAGCTCTTTAATTCCGTCCTCCATGGTGGCATTACACCGGAGGCGTGGAGCAGAAGTGCGGTGGTCTTGTTCTTCAAGAAAGGCGACAACGCTCTCTTGAAGAACTACAGACCGATTTCCCTTCTGAGCCGCGTCTAAGTGCTGTTTTCGAGAGTCATTACGAATCGTCTCGCGCGCAGACTTGACTACTTCCAGCCTCCCGAACAAGCCGGTTTCCGAAAAGGCTTTAGCATCATAGACCACATACATACCCTTCGGCAAATTGTACAGAAGTCCGAGGAGTACAATTTGCCACTATGTCTGGCGTATATGGACTATGAGAAAGCCTTTGATTCCGTCGAAATTTGGGCGGTGTTGCAGTCCCTTCAGCGATGCCAAGTTGACTGTCGGTATATCGAAGTGTTGAAGTGCTTGTACAGTAGGGCTACGATGGCTATCCGAGTACAGAACCAGAGTACGAAACCTATCCAATTGCAGAGAGGTGTAAGACAGGGTGACGTCATATCCCCGAAACTCTACCGCTGCATTGGAAGATGTTTTCAAGCTTCTGGACTGGAAAGGATACGGTATCAACATAAATGGCGAGTACATCACTCACCTTCGATTTGCCGACGATATAGTCCTTATGGCAGAATCGCTGGAGGACCTAAGCACTATGCTCAATGACCTCAATAGTGTTTCCCAACGGATAGGTCCTAAGATGAACATGGACAAAACAAAGATCATGTTTAATGTCCATGTCACACCTATGCCGGTATTTGTTGGGAACACTAAGCTCGAAGTTGTTGACGAGTATGTTTACCTGGAACAAATAGTCCGACTAGGTAAGTCCAACTTCGACCGAGAGGTCAATCGACGGATTCAACTCGGCTGGGCAGCGTTCGGGAAACTACGACGCATCTTCTCGTCAGGTATACCTCAAAACTTGAAAACGAGACTGTACACCCAGTGCGTGTTGCCAGTGATGACATACGTAACTGAGACGTGGTCCTTCACTGCTGGCCGGATGAGGAAGCTCAAGGTCGCTCAGCGAGCTATGGAGAGGGCTATGCTCGGAGTTTCTCTGCGTGATAAACTCAGAAATGAGGATATCCGCAGTAGAACCAGAGTGACCGACATAGCCCAACGGATTAGTAAGCTGAAGTGGCAATGGGCTGGCCATATAGCTCGAAGAACCGACAACCGATGGGGAAGAAAGGTTCTCGAGTGGCAGCCTCGTACCGGCAGGCGAAGTGTAGGGCGTCCCCCCACTAGATGAAGTGACGACCTGGTAAGATATGCAGGAAGTCGATGGATGCAGGTGGCTCAGGACCGTGTTTTGTGGCATTCTTTGGGGGAGGCCTATGTTCAGCAGTGGACTTGTGAAGGGCTGTAATGATGATGATGATGAAGCAAACCCACTTTTACATTTGTCGGACCACGCCACCGAATTTGTAGATTGATCTGCTTTCTATGTGTACATCTAAGTCATTAAGACTATGTCGAAATCTGTCTTGCAGAAAGACGGGCCTCTCGCTGTTCGTCCGTTTCAAGAGACCGAATATTTTCAATTCTTAATCTTTTATTAGACAAACTTATTAATCGTTCTTATCTCAAAGAATTGTAATATTCGCGTCCCGACTCTAGTCGTTGTTCATGCTCATGTTCATCTTCAATAGATCGAATAATATTATGGTGCATCCTATCATTTGTCAAACGGTCTTCATATTGAGTAAAAGTTTCAGATTCTCGAAATAAAATATGACGTTCGCGTCCAGCTGTGAGACGTAATTCCCTCTCAGTGTACGTTTCGGACTCGCGAGATAATGTATGCCTTTCGCGGTCAGCTGTGAGACGTAATTCCCTCTCAGTGAAGGTTTCGGACTCACGGGATAGTACATGCCGTTCGCGACCAGCTGTGAGATGTAATTCCCTCTCAGTGAAGGTTTCGGACTCACGGAATAGTACATGCCGTTCGCGATCAGCCGTGAGACGTAATTCCCTCTCAGTGTAGGTTTCGGACTCGCGAGATAATGTATGCCGTTCGCGGTCAGCTGTGAGACGTAATTCCCTCACAGTGTAGGTTTCGGACTCGCGAGATAACGTATGCCTTTCGCGGTCAGCTGTGAGACGTAATTCCCTCTCAGTGAAGGTTTCG